AAATGGAATCCATGAAGGTCAACAATGTTTGACATTTGGTTGAAATTTCAAAGGATATAAAGTCTATTGGTTGTAAACAGATTTTTAAGAAAAAGATTAGAGCAGATGAAAAGGTGGAGACCTATAAAGCTTGTCTTATTGTTAAAGGGTATTGTCAAAAGGAAAAAATCGATTATGACGAAACATTTTCCCCTGTAGCAATGCTCAAATCAATTCGAATTCTACTTGCTGTAGCTGCATACTATGATTGTGAGATATTACAAATGGATGTAAAAACAGCTTTCCTAAATTGTGAGTTGCAGGAGGATGCATATATTACACAACTTGAAAGTTTCATATCCTCATTTGATCATGATAAAGTCTGTAAGTTATAAAGATTAATTTATGGATTAAAGCAAACATCTCGGAGTTATAATATTCATTTTAACAAAATAATTAAAAAGTTTAATTTTGTTAGATGCGAAGAAAAACCTTGTGTATACAAATGGACTAGTGGGAGTACAATTATTTTCTTAGTGTTGTATGTAAATGATATATTACTCATTAGAAATGACATACCAACATTACAAAATACTAAGATTTGGCTATCTGAACAGTTCTCCATGAAAGACTTTAGAGAAACAACTTATATATTAGGAATAAAGATCTATAGAGATAGATCTAAGAAGTTGTTTAGACTTTGCCAGTTTATGTACATTGATACAATTTTGAAGATGTTTAATATGAAAAATTCTAAAAAGGGGCTATCTACTGATAGGTACTAGAATCACTCTAAGTAGAGAGAATTGCCCTAATACCTTTGAAGAGAAAGAAAGAATGGGTGGAGTCCCATATGCTAACGTAGTGGAAGCTATCATATATACCATGATATGTACATGTCTTGATGTGGCTTATGCACTAGGAGTGACTAGTCGATATTAGGTAAATTTTGGTGAGTAACATTGAAAAGTGGTAAAAACTATTTTTAAGTATTTGAAAAGAACTAAAGACCAATTACTCATCTATGAAAAATCTGAGTTAAAATTAGAAGGTTATACCGATGCAAGTTTGCTTCATATAAAGAAGATAACAAATCTATATCTGGTTATGTGTTTACCTTAAATGGTGGTGCAGGGAGTTGGAAAAATTTCAAATAAGCTACGATAGCTGATTCAGTGACCGAAATAGAATATATAACGACAAGTGAAGCTGCTAAGAAAACTATTTGGATGAAGAAGTTCTTAACTGAACTTGGTATGGTTCCTTCAATAGAAGGTCCAGTTCTACTATTGTGTGACAATACTGGAGCAATTACTCAAGTAAAAGAGCCAAGATTGCATAAAAAATCTAAACACATTCTGTGTAGGTACTACTTGATTAGAGAAATCATTGAATATGGGAACGTTAAAATTCAAAAAGTTGATAGAAAGAATAATGCAGCTGACCCGTTTACTAAAGTTCTTGGTGCAAATGAGTTTGATAAGCATAAGTGGAAGTTAGGAATGAAGTAAATGACAAATTGGATCTAGTGCAAGTGGGAGATTGTTGGGGATATAAGTGTTATGTTCACGATATAATTATTTTTGTAATATATTGAATACATTATTATTTGATAATTTATTTTAATATATGATAATAATATTTTATTATTATATTTATTATCTTATCTTTTAATTTATATGATAAAGTTCTTGATTAAATTTATAAGATTTACATCAAGATGAGGATTTTGATAATGAGAGTAAAATATTTTGTGGTTTAATTTAAAATATTATTAGTCGTTGGATCATTGAAATAAGACATTACTGATCCGGTAAAACTAATATATATATATATATATATAATAGTCTCTATAAGATAAAGATTACTTGATTTGATTAAGTAAATCACATATATAAATGATACACATGGAGATATGATAATTGAACCGACCCAATTGAAAATTTTTAATAGTTAATATTACCTTAAACTGTCTTTAGAGTATTTTCTTATTTTGATAAGATGTAAGAATTTGCTTAGAGTTAAGATCATCATAATAATTGATAAGTCATTTATTATACTTTGATTATGAACACCTATAGTTATAAAATTATAGTTGAAATGATATTAGGTGTGATTAAATACTTATAGAATTAATGATTGATCAAGATGTAACCTGTCAAATTTGATAATAAGTTTAAGGTCTATGTTGTCATTTATTATAATGACTAAATTAAAATATTGGTCATGACAATTGAATGAATGAATTTTTTTTTTTATGTCATTCATTAGTCAATTATAATTGACATGAAATATAGTTGGTTACCTATTGGAATTTGACGGTTAAACCATATCTTAGAGTTAACCTAGAGCAATAATGACAAAAAAAAGTATTACATATTTCTTTAATAGGTTCTTGAGAGTAATTGTATATTTTATACTATCTGGTCGTTGAGGAGTGTTGTTAGATGTCAATCTTAATTAGTAAATTAGTTTGACTAATTTGTTACTAGTTTAGTATTGAACCTATGGGTCGCGTGCTAACAAGTGGTCTGATTTTTGCTGAATAAATTAATTATTTTAATTATCTGAAAATTAAATTAGAGAATTTAATTTAATCAAATAAATAAAATTTTTGGTCTAAATAGAATATTATTATATTCTTTGCTAGTATCAAGAATATAATTAATATTTGAGATAAATTAAAATTTTTTATTTTTGAAATAGAAAATTAATATTTATATTTTTTGATTATTATATTATTAGTATAATAATATAATATGTGTGACTATTATAATAATTGAGATTATTGTAAAATTTAATTTGAAATTAAATTGATTTATAAAATTATTTTATTAAATAATAATAATTAAAAAGGATAAACATATATATATATATATATATGAGATGTATATGTAAATATTTAGGTGTTAAAAAGAAAAAAAAGTGGATGAATCCAAATAAATTTGGACGTCGGAGAGTTCAAAAGGAACTCCTCCACCGATGTCACCTATAAATATGTATATGATATATAAATATAGATGTGGAGGTTTTGAAAAAAGTGTGGAGAAGAGAACTAGAAAAGGTAGCCGTACACCAAAAAGAAAAATTGGAGAATTTTTCTTTTTAAGTTTTGTGAAAAAATTTTAACACATTAATTATTAATTTGTTTGTACGTTCCGTTAATTAAAGAGTTGAACATAAAAAGTTAGTTTCGGTGTGGATATGCGTAGAGTATTCGTACTTTTGGATAATTTTAACTTGAGAATCCGCTATTATGTATGTTTTAGATTTGGTATTTAATATGCAATATAATTTTTAAGTATAAATAAATTAGATTGAATTGTTTTTTATTTTCTGTTATGTATTATGCACATATTACAATCCAACAAAAATATGTATATATATAGGACTGGGGTATTCAATGAAATGCACAATCAACTATTCTTCCCGATATAGTTTAATTAATGTTAGAAAAATGAAACATCCTGGGGTTTTTGAATGAATGTTAGAGTGTACTGTTCTTTTGATACTATTGCATATACGCATCATTCACATTGAAGTAAGAAACCAATATTATTCCCTATCTTCAAATGGAAAAATGGTTACAAATTTTAGAATTTTACTAAAACTTATAAACATTAATAGAAATCTTCTTATGTAAACTTTGTAAGAGAACTGTGAGGATATAAAAAGAACATCTACCAAAAATTTTATTACTAACAGTTTTTTTTTTCCTTCTATGTTCATTTATGAATTTTTTTATATATTTGATTTTGATGTAAAAATGCCATGAGAGCTTGAGGTTCTTAAGCACGAAGAGTTTTATCTTTTTATATCTATGATTATTTTTATTATTTGTAGTTTCAACATTTAAATATGAGTTTATTTTTATCCAACATTGTCTTTCCAAGGCTACGGTTAATAATGATGAATGTATGAGAAAACTGATTAGTTGACTCGCCTATCATTTTATACATTTTTTCAAAAGGAAGTTATTTTAATTCATGGATCATTATAATAATTTTCTTAAGAAGTTGTAAACTTTGTATTAGACAAATGAATTTCATCAAAAAAAAAAAAATTGCTATTCGACATTTCTATATTTAGAACGTGTGACCAAAAATATTTGGTCTTTTATTTTTTATGTTTAGAATTAGAATGTCAATTAAATTTGAATTTTCTAATGAATTCTTTACTTTTTTTCTTCTTTTTGAGACTTCATTTGTTCCAATGATACTCTTAACACATTTTTTGCGTAGATAGACTTGATTAAGTTGCATCTTTTCTAATGTAGGTAACCTAGAGTTATGGTGCTTTACGAAGGTAAATTCCAATGGGATTGGTGATTATTATGGCGATCTTCTAGTCTCACTTTTGGTCAAGTATAGAGAAAATACTGTCAGTTAGGCTGTTTAATGAGAAACTACCCAACAAGAAAAGAGGCACAAGGGATATCAAAAAAATAAGACAGTCGAATTAAGTGTTTCTTAATTACAACGGGTTGGTGATGAATCATGATAAATTGTAGTTTAAAAGTTTGTTAAGTAAATAGCCCCTCGTTAGATTTGACATATACGAAGTAGTTCTAATGTTTATTTCATTGCCTCCCTGTTTGTAATTAGGGTTTGGCGTAATCGTTTCGCTCTCTTACGTTTTTGAATGTCATCATTCAATTTATTGAATTTATGTTTTTTTTTAAGATAAATTATTAATTTTAATCATTGAATTACTAGTTACGTTATAATTGAAATTTTCTGTTATATTTTAGTTTTTGAATTTATTATCAAAATGTCAATTTATTCATGTCTATAAGAGTATAGTCGGTCTCTCCATCATATGGATGTAACTTTTTTTAAGTGAATATAATGTAGTGATCCAACGAAGTCTTTAAGTCGCCTTCAAGTCTTTCTTTGAAGTTCAGTGTGCACAACGTGATGTATTTTTTAATGTTACACGAGAATCAATAATTGCATATTCAATAATCCCTGTGATAAATAACTGGTATTCTCGGTCTCACAGAGGGCCGGAGATAGAGAGAAATGGAACTTGATCATTTCAGTCACAAACATTCATTGACTTCCTTGGAAAGCCAAAACACAAACAGTGATGCTTGGAAGACCTATTGCTCCGGCTGCCTGGGTTCAATATCCAAGGAATCTAGCTATGGTTGCACTCAATGTGACTACTTTCTCCACAAAAAATGTGCAGAGCTACCCGCTGAAATTTCCCATCCTCTCCACCGAAGACACCCTCTTCTTCTTCAATCCAACCACGAGGAACTTATTTGTGCTTTGTGCTTCTGCAGTGGGAGCTTAGTTTATCACTGCTCTATCTGTGAGTTTTCCCTTGACATTGAATGCGCTGAAGTTTTACCTCCAGTTATTCGATCTCAAACCCATGAACACCCTTTTACCCTCCTTTGCAAGGAAGTCTCATTCGATTGTGATGCTTGCGGCGAAGATGGCTCTCACTCTCCCTACGTTTGCATCTCCTGCAACCTCACAGTTCACTACCATTGTATTTCATTACCAAGAGCCATCAGAATAACTCGCCATGAACATCTTCTCAGACACACTTATTTTCTTCATGAATGGCGCCCCTGTTCGATTTGTCACATTAATCTGAGTGAAAACCATGGGTGTTATCATTGTCCAGCGTGCGATTATGCTGTCCATGTCCACTGCGCAACGCACTCTGATATACGGGATGACACAACAAGAGATGAGGAAGATGATACGGAGAGCAGTGAGGCCAGGGTAGATTCTATAATCAGGATTGTTAAGGAAATCAAGTTGGGTGAAGACATGATTGCAGCTGAGATTGAGCATTTCAGCCATGAACATACCTTGAGTTTCAGTAATGTGGGTAAGGATAATAAATGTTGTGATGGGTGCGGTATACGCATTTTGTCTCCATTTTATTGCTGTGAAGGGTGTGATTTCTTCCTCCATAAAACTTGTACTGAATTACCCAGAAATAAGCTTTACCCGCTTCACCAGCATACACTTACTCTTCGACCAAAATCACCTCATTCGAGTAGAGTCTTTGCATGTAAGGTCTGTTCAATCTACTCCAACGGCTTCTCTTACAACTGCGAGAGATGCAGTTTTGATATCGATCTCCGCTGCTCTTCAATTTCAGACACTCTTATCCATCAAGCTCATGAACATAGCCTCTTTGTCTTATTCGGGATTGATGGAGTGCGGGAATGCAATGGCTGTGGTGCGTCGGGAAAGAACGGACTGGAATGCTCTCAATGTGACTATGGTCTTCATTTCAAATGTGCTACACTACCACTCACAGCTATGCATAGCTATGACGACCATCCTCTGAAACTCACCTTCCAGGATGATTCAGATTCAGATATGCTTTATTGCGATGTATGCGAAGATGAGAGAAATCCAGATAATTGGTTCTACTCCTGTGATGATTGCGGTGTCACCATTCATCCCGAATGTTTACTTGGCAAGTATCCTTATATTAAGGTTGGAGATGCTTACGCAACTGATTCTCACCCCCACTCCCTCCGTTTCGTGAAGAAGACAGAGAAGTATCCTGCCTGCAACTCTTGCAGCCAACCCTGCACAGATTTGGCACTTGAGTGTGCCGAGCCTGAATGTAGTTTTATTGTCCACTGGGAATGTGTTGCTCCTAACAAGTCTTGATTTTAAGAAAATCAGTCGGCAGGGAATATATATAAGTCTTGTACTTTCTACTACAAACGCAGTAAAGGGAACAGGAGACTAAGATGAAGATCAAATATAAAGCTTACCTCCATCACTGCTTTTCCAAGATTGACCACAAGAAAATTGTCAAAGCTTTTGCCATATTTGCTTCTAAGATAGATTCATTGTTGCCCTCTTGTATGTATGACTGTTGTCAAATTCATTTGAGTTTTTTTTTATTTTAATGATCTTAGTAAGTGTAGTCTGAATACTTCGTTTCTTTCCTAATTGTTGATTTTTTCAAACTCAAGCTGGCAAGAGGTTCTTTCACTTTTTGCAATAAGGAGAAAATTAGAGAATGTTTGCAATTTATTTAGTGTTTGTAAAAAATTTAATGTATTCTATTTTACTTATCTGTCTCATAACAATTGAGATACATGGTGTTCTACTTCATTTCAGTAAAAGAACATTCACACCAAACGCATAGACAAAATTTACCCTAAAAAACAGGGGAATAAAAGAGAAAATTCTCTGAGTGGCCTTGCTCCAAAAACAAAAAACTTTCTGTAGATGGCCTCAGGTTGCTCGGGAAGCATCTCTCCACCAGTTTTTAACGAAGAAAATTATCAATTTTGGGCTGTTAGAATGAAGATTCTTTTGAAGGAGATGGATCCATGGGAAGCTATTGATGTTAGAGAAGATCTTCATTCTTTAAGAGAAAACCCAATCGTGAATCAAATGAAACATAATGCACAAGAAGTGGCAAAGAAGTGCAAGGCCCTTTCCTTCATTCACTCGGTTGTATCAGAAGCAGCATTTCTGAGATTATGTCGTGTGAAATGGGCAAAGAAGTTTGGGACAGAATCAATGAGGTGTTTGTTCCAAGGAACTGAAAAGACAAAACCAATGCAGATACTCAGCTTAAGAAGAGAACTTGAAGTCCTTAAGATAAATGATTCTGAGTCTGTCAATGAGTTCTAGGATAGGGTGATGAAGGTTGTAAATCGAGTGAAGTTTCTTAAAGAAGAGCTGCAGATAAAAGGGTGGTGGAGAAGGTGCTTGTGAGTCTTCATAGAGGTATAAAGCCAAAATCTCTTCTCTTGAAGAATTTAAAGACTCTTCCAAGAGTGCATTTATTATGAGATAATAAATGTCTTAGCTTTGTAAAGTAATTGATTATAAGTATCTTAATAGTGTGTTTATAGATATAGTTTTAAATCAATTACATAATTCGTAGGCTGTGGCATAGTATTTAACTACAAATTAATTATAAAACTAGGAGGGTGTGAGATTATATTTTATTTGGAGTTTTATTGGTTGCTGGTTTTGTGTTTTTAGTTTTTAATGTGAGAGGTTAGTAGTAGACAGAATAGGGGAAAAGCAAATGTAGTAGGCAGTTCTCGTATTAACTTCTATATAACTACTCTCTTTGCATATTTAAAAATCTGTTGTTCTCCTTTTAAATGCTTATTTTTTATGCAGAAAGTTTGCCAAAAGATTTTTGAGTATTTTAACTCTAAGAGAAACTGTCGAGTTCTTTCTCAACGAGCCTGTACATTTATATTAAAATAGGTAAAGAAAGAAGAACACGAAAACAACCTTTAACACTCATTGATTTTTGGGTTACTCGTTCCATGATGAGAATCACAAATTGAGACCATAACAATTTCGTATTAGAACCACAAATTATGAGAGATTTGCAGTTTATATTTGATTTTTCAACTCCAAATTTACCAGAAAGATTGTCAAAATGATCATTTGAAGTAGGAATATACGGTTCGTTGATTGGAAGAATCGTCTTCTAGCCGACCGAGGGGAAAGGAAGGTACAGGTAGAACCAGTGGATCCTAGAGGCAGTAATACAGCAACCCAAGTTTTTTAAAATGTAAGTATGAGAACAGTAATCCAGTTTGTATAATGTCCTTTTCAAAAGCTTAAGGAAATGTATCTCTACCGACTGGAACATTTAAAGGAGCTCCCATATCAATCATTTCCATTCATCCCATTATACTATCCGCAGAAACTTCATTTCACGGTATACAAAATTGGATTTTTCATGATTCAACGGATTGATAGATCCTCTTTCTTGGATTGACAGATGCGAGCATTCTTTTTTTTTGCCATAAACGAATGTATCAGGAAGAGAAGGATTCATTCACAGGGAGAAGTGAAACTTTGGTTTTTGAAATTAAAAAGAGATAGACAGTTGTTATCCTGGACATAATTCAAAAATTTCTGTCATTGCGTTTTAGTCCTGCAACAAACTAGGAGAGTTGAATAATCGAATTCATTTAATGGTTAAATAACAAAGACAACTTTAACTATTGTCGGCCTAAGCAAGTTCGCTCACGTTGGAGGAAGAAGTCAATATTTTTTTCAGGAGTGTAAGAAGTATATAATAATGCAGTGATAGCACACAAAAAACACCTCTGTGGTGATTTCTTTTCTAACCAGGCCAAACCGCCACCAGTCAAGCTTTTCTATCCATTGAATAGCGCAGTTCTTGTCATCTTTCTCTATTCTGACCTTCCATAATAAAATGACTTTCTGCTTTAGAATTGGAGAGAAAACGTGCTTAGATTTGTATTTCAATTATTATGAGAAATTCGAGCGTGACTACTATTTCTAACTTGAATTGGAAGATCGGTTACCAGTGAAGGTTTTCGATTAAAAAATGTTTGAGGTCCAACTACATTATCCATGTTTCATAGTCGACCACCAGTCTGATTTTCTCCACGCAGCCATGCAAAACACCTGTCTGCATAGCCGCATAGCTCACCTGTCCATGGCGCAGCCACCAGTCGGTATAACTAATGAACAACCACTAACTTCATAACCTTTAGCTGCGTAGCCTTCAGCTGTGCTCGCACTTCTGTTGTATCTGTTCCAACTGTGGCTCTGTTCAATCACCATAGCCACAACTATGGAGCCACCTCAATCGTGAGGAGCGGTATCCAAATGCAAGCAGCCTATCTAGACGTTCAGGAGTTCTGTTCCAGCATCTGCCCAGCCCGGTAATCCCTAACTATACCCTATTAAATTGACCTTAAATTTCCTTAAAAAACTTTAAACCATGGTGGAGGTTATGTCTCAAAAATTACTGGTTTAAATCCCAATATGGTAAATTCAAAAGAAATTAACGAAAAATTTTAATCAATTCAGGGTGGTAAGAATTACTTGAATTGGTGACAACTGATTGTAATCATCCTTAGGAGAAAAGGAAAAATAAGCCATATTCAGGGGGCACAAGACTTAAATCTGGAAACCCACAATCTGATGCTGGGATAAGGAAGGTAGGCAATGCTTCCATGCTCTTGCCCAGCACTGAAGAAGTTTGGGAAGTTGTTAGAGACCTACTCCTGGGTCAAAGATGTAACTGAGATCTGTGACCTATCAATCAAAACTTGGTCTGGCAAGTAAGAAAGTAGAGCCATGGCAAAGTACGTTAATTTACTGAAAAAAAAAAGTCAACTACTTTGGATCAGATTTTTATATACATATATTTTTAAAAACAAATATATACAGCTTTTCTTTTCGCGTATATTTTGCTGCTTGTATGGGCAATCTGAAAACTAAGTCCATGCCGCCTTAAAGTCTTTCTTTAAAGATTATTGTCCACAACGTGTTGTATTTTTTATTGCTTACTGGAATCAATAATTGCATATTCAATACTCCTTATAACTGCTAGTCTCAGTCTCACAGAGACCCAGAGATAGAGAGAAATGAGGCGTTATCTTTTCAGTCACCAACATTTAATGACTTTCTTCGAAGGGCAAAACACAAACAGTAATGCTGAAAATACCTATTGCTCCGCCTGCCTGGATCCAATACTCGATGAATCTAGCTATGGTTGCGATAAATGTGACTATTTTCTCCACAAAAAATGTGCAGACCGACCCAGTGAAATTTCCCATCCTATCCACCAAAGACACCCTCTTCTTCTTCAACCCAACCAGCAGGGACTTGATTGTGCTATGTGCTTCAGCAGTGGGCAGAACCTAGTTTATTGCTGCTCTCTCTGTCAGTTTTCCCTTGATATCGAATGTGCTGAAGTTTTACCTCCGGTTTTTCAATCTCAAGCCCATGAACACCCTTTTAGCCTCCTCTGCAAGGAAATCTCATTCTGTTGTGATGCTTGTGGCAAAGATGGCTCTCACTCTCCCTACGTTTGCTTCTCCTGCAACGTCACAGTTCACGGTCACTGTACTTCATTACCAAGAACCATCAGAATAATTCGCCATGAACATCTTCTCCGACACACTTATTTTCTTCATCAAAGTGAGACTGATTGGCGCCTCTGTTCGATTTGTCACAAGGATATGAGGGCAGATCGTGGGTGTTATCATTGTCCAGCATGCGATTATGCCGCCCATGTCCACTGCGCAACACGCCCTGAAATATGGGATGGCACAACAAGAGATGAAGATACGCAGGGCAGTGAGGCCAGGATAGATTCTATAATCAGGATTGTCAAGGAAATCAAGCTGGGTGAAGAGATGATTGCAGCCGAGATTGAGCATTTCAGCCATGAACATACCTTGATTTTCAGCAATGAGGTTAAGGATAATAAATGTTGTGATGGGTGTGGTATACCCATTTTGTCTCCATTTTATAGCTGTGAAGGGTGTGATTTCTTCCTCCATAAAACTTGTGCTGAATTACCCAGAAATAAGCGTTACCCATTTCACCAGCATACACTTACTCTACGACCAAAATCGCCTCATTCTAACAGAGTCTTCGCATGTAATGTCTGTTCAACTTACTCCAACGGCTTCTCTTACAACTGCGAGAGATGCAGTTTTGATCTAGATCTTAGCTGCTCCTCAATTTCAGACACCCTTATCCATGAAGCTCACGAACATAGCCTCATTGTCTTCTTCCAGAATGCTGGACTGTGGGAATGCAACGGCTGTGGTGAGATGGGAAAGAACAGACTGGTATGCCGTACATGTGGCTATGCTCTTGATTTCAAATGTGCGACATTACCACTCACAGCTATGCATAGCTATGACGACCATCCTCTGAAACTCACCTTCCAGGATGATTCAGATTCAGATAAACTTTATTGCGATGTATGCGAAGATAAGAGAGAGACATATCATTGGTTCTACTCCTGTGATGATTGCGGTGTCACCATTCATCCTGAATGTGTATTTGGCAAGTATCCTTATATTAAGGTTGGAGATACTTACACAGTTGATTCTCACCCGCACTCCCTCCGTTTCGTGAAGAAGACAGAGAAGTATCCTTCCTGCAACTCTTGCGACCAACCCTACACAGATTTGGCACTCGAGTGTACAGAATCTGAATGTAGTTTTATAGTCCACTGGGAATGTGTTGCTCCTAACAAGTCATGATTTTAGAACGTACTCGGCAGCCAATAAATATAAGTTTCTGCTACAAACGCAGGAAAGGGAACAAGAGACTAAGATGGAGATCAAACATAAAGCTCACCCCCATCAATTGAGTTTTGCCATTTTTGCTCCTAAGACAGATCCAGGATTTCTGAATGAATATTAGAGTGTACTTTTTTTTAGATGTTATTGCATATATGCATTATGTATATCGAAGTAAGAAACCAACATTATTCCTATTTTTAAATGAAAAAAAACAAAGAAAATTACAAATTTTAAAATTTTAGTAATTTTTAATAAAACGTGTAAATATTAATAGAAATATTATTATAAGAACTGTGAGGATAGAAACATGAGCACATACCAAAAACTTTTTATGCGACAATTTCTTCCCTTTTATGTTCGTTCATGATTTTTTTTTCTTTCTGTTTGATTTTGATATAAAAATGCAAGGAGAGCTAGATGTTCTTAAGCAGGAAGAGTCTTATCATTTTATATCTATGATTTTAGTGTCTTAAAATGCAAATAATTTAGTGATCCAAAACGTGATGTATTTTTTATTGCTTACTAGAATCAATAATTTAGTCAATGCCGGCTTCAAGTCTTTCTTTAAAAGTTTACCAGAATCAGTAACCCTTAAAACTGGTAGTCTCACCCTCACAGAGATCCAGAGACAGAGAGAAATGGAACATCATCATTTCAGTCATGAACATCCATTGACTTTCTTTGAAGGCCAAAACACAAACAGCGATGCTAAAAATACCAAGTGCTCCGGCTGCCTGGATCCAGTACTCAAGGAATCTAGCTATGGTTGCACTCAATGTCACTATTTTCTCCATGAAAGATGTGCAGAGCTACCCGGTAAAATTTCCCATCCTATCCACCCAAGACACCCTCTTTTTCTTCGACCCAACGGGTTTGAAGCTGATTGTGTTTTGTGCCGCCGCAGTGGGCAGAGCCTGATTTATTACTGCTCTCCTTGTGTGTTTTCCGTTGACATTAAATGTACTGAAGTTTTACCTCCAGTTATTCAATCTCAAACCCATGAACACCCTTTTTCCCTCCTCTGCAAGCAAGTCTCATTCGTTTGTGATGCTTGTGACAAACGTGGCTCTCACTCTCCCTACGTTTGCTTCTCCTGCAACCTTACAGTTCACCACCACTGTACTTCATTACCAAGAACCATCAAAACAATTCGCCATGAACATCTTCTCAGACACACTTATGTTCTTCATGAAAGTGAGTCTGATTGTAGCCGCTGTTCGATTTGTAAGAATTTTCTGAGCGCAGATCGTGGGTGTTATCATTGTCCAGCATGCGATTATTCCGCCCATGTCCACTGCGCAACACGCTCTGAACTATGGGATGTCACAACAAGAGATGAAGAAGATGATGATACGGAGGGCAGTGAGGCCAGGCTAGATTCTATAATCAGGATTGTCAAGGAAATCAAGCTGGGTGAAGACATGATTGCAGCTGAAATTGAGCATTTCAGCCATGAACACCCCTTGATTTTCAGTAATGAGGGTAAGGATAATAAATGCTGTGATGGGTGTGGGATACCCATTTCGTCTCCGTTTTATAGCTGTGAAGGGTGTGATTTCTTCCTCCATAAAACTTGTGCTGATTTACCCAGAAATAAGCTTTACCCATTTCACCCGCATGCACTTACTCTTCTACCAAAATCATCTCATTCTAGCAGAGTCTTCGCATGTAATATCTGTTCAATATACTCCAACGGCTTCTCTTACAACTGTGAGAAATGCAGTTTTGATCTCGATCTTCGCTGCTCTTCAATTCCAGACACCCTTATCCATCAAGCTCATAAACATAGCCTCTTCGTCATCGTCCAGGATGATGTAGAGTGGAAATGCTGCGGCTGTGGTGCGTTGGAAAAGCGCGGACTGGGATGCCCTCAGTGTTTTCACTTTCTTGATTTCAAATGCGCTACACTACCACTCACAGCTATGCATAGCTATGACGACCATCCTCTGAAACTCACCTTCCAGGATGATTCAGATCAGCTTTATTGCGATGTTTGCGAGGATACGAGAGATCCAAAACATTGGTTCTACTCCTGTGATGATTGCGGTGTTACCATTCATCCTGAATGTGTATTTGGCAAGTATCCTTATATTAAGGTTGGAGATACTTATACAATTGATTCTCACCCACACTCCCTCCGTTTCGTGAAGAAGACAGAGAAGTATCCTTCCTGCAACTCTTGCGGCCAACCCTGCACGGATTTGGCACTTGAGTGTGCAGAGTCTGAATGTGGTCTTATAGTCCACTGGGAATGTGTTGCTCTTAACAAGTGTTGATTTTAGGAATGTATTCGGCAGCCAATCTATATAAGTCTTGTAGTTTCTGCTACAAACGCTGTAAAGGGACTAAGATGGAGATCAAACATAAAGCTCGCCCCCCATCACTGCTTTTCAAAGATTGACCACAAGAAAATTATCAAAGCTTTTGCCATATTTGCTTCTAAAAGAGATTCTACAGGTCCTACTCATAATAATAATGTTGGGATTCATTGTTGCCGTGTATGACTGTCTTCAAATTCCTTTTGAGTTTTTCTTATGTTCTTAATAACTGTAACCCGAATACTCGTTTTTTTTTTTTCTTTTCCTAATTCCTAACTTTTTCAAAATCAACCTGGCAAGAGTTCTTTCACTTCCTGCAATAAGGAGAAAATTAGAAAATACATGCAATTATTTAGTGTTTATAAAAAATATCATATATTTTGTTCTGCTTTATTGAAAATCAAAAGAAAAAAATAAGAGAGTCTAATAGAAAAATTGAAAATTTCATTTGCGTTTGTTGTTAAAAATCTTGAAGTACATGTGCATATATAGATATTAGTACAAATATTAAAATTTCAAATACTTTATTAATAATTATGACCATAACTAACTAAAAAAATTCAAAAAACTTATATTAAAATCTAAAATTTTAAAATTTTAATTCTACATAAGATAAACAGTACACAAATTCTCAAATTATTATTTCAGACTTGTAAATTATTATTTTTTAACTTCTTAAAAGACAAATAGTCTCCTCCATATGATATTTTTGCTCCGACAATGCGATAAAGAGTGGGTGTGAAAAATATATTTTCATTTAAAGTTTTATATTATTTAGTTTGTTATTCTCTTTCTCGGATAAGATAAATTAGTTTCTTTTATGAAATTTATTACTATTAAAATTAATAAAATTTTCGTGATGATATAAAATAATGAATGAAAATGATTTAAGAATTAACTATAATTAAAATATTTTAACTTAGTGGTAATTTATTTTCATATAACGACGAAGAAAAATAATAACATAAATATTACTGTAAATAAATTTTTTACACAAGGAGGAAAGAATCCTTTTGCTTCACTAATTTTTGTAGTGGTTAACTAATTATATAAAGTTTAATGGTTACTTCTACTATCTTCTATATTGAATAGTTATAGTTTCAATTCTTATTATGTGTTACATATTTATATACTATATTGCATTATGTCACTTTTACATGTCTATAGTTATAATATGAAAACATATATATATCTATATATATAACAGCTTTTTCTTTTCCCTTATATTTTGCTGCTTGTCTGGGCAATTGTCAATATATTCAAATAACTTTTTTTAAATGCAAATAATTTAGTGATCCAACCAAGTCTATGCGGCCTCCAAGTCTTTCTTTAAAGTTTAGGCTCTGCAACTTGATGTATTTTTTAGTAATTACAAGAATGAGTAATTGCATATCCAATAATCTTTATAATAACTGGGTAGTCTCAGTCTCACAAAGAACCAGAGATCGAGAGAAATGGAGCTTCACCATTTCAGTCACACACATCCATTGACTTTCTTTGAAGGCCAAAACACAAACAGTGATGCTAAAAATACCAAATGCTCCGGATGCCTGGATCCGATACTCGAGGAATCTAGCTATGGTTGCACTCAATGTCGCTATTTGCTCCACAAAAAATGTGCAGAACTACCTGGTGAAATTTCCCATCCTCTCCACCCAAGACACCCTCTTCTTCTTCAACCCTACCAGGAGGAACTTGATTGTGCTTTGTGCAACCGCAGTGGGCAGAGCATGGTTTATGACTGCTCTCTCTGTGACTTTTCCCTTCACGTCAAATGTGCTCAAGTTTTACCTCCGGTTATTCAATCTCAAATCCATGAACACCCTTTTACCCTCCTCTGCAAGCAAATCTCATTTTGTTGTGATGCTTGTGGCCGAATTGGCTCTCACTCTCCCTACGTTTGCATCTCCTGCAACCTCACAGTTCACTACCGCTGTACTTCATTACTAAGAACCATCAAAATACTTCGCCATGAACATCTTCTCAGACACGCTTATTTTCTTCATGAAAGTCGATCTGAATGGCGCAACTGTTCGATTTGTCACCGGGATATGAGGGCATCTCGTGGGTGTTATCATTGTCTAGCATGCGATTATGCCGCCCATGTCCGCTGTGCAACACGTTCTGAACTATTGGATGGCAGAACAAGAGATGAAGATGATGATATGAAGAGCAGTGAGGCCAGGCTAGATTCTATAATCAGGATTGTTAAGGAAATCAAGCTCGGTGAAGACACGATTGCAGCTGAGATTGAGCATTTCAGCCATGAACATACCTTGATTTTCAGTAATGACGGTAAGGATTATAAAGGTTGTGATGGATGCGGACTACCTGTCTCGTCTCCATTTTATAGCTGTGAAGGGTGTGATTTCTTCCTCCATAAAACTTGTGCTGAATTACCCAGAAATAAGCTTTACCCATTTCACCAGCATACACTTACTCTTCTACCAAAATCACCTCATTCTAACAGAGTCTTCTCATGTAATGTCTGTTCAATCTACTCCAATGGCTTCTCTTACAACTGTGAGAGCTGCAGTTTTGATCTCGATCTTCGCTGCTCTTCAATTTCAGACACCCTTACACATCAAGCTCATGAACATAGCCTCTTCGTCTTCTTCCAGGATGATAGAAAGACTGAATGCTGCGGCTGTGGTGCGTTGGAAAAGAACGGAGTGAGATGCCCAGAATGTTGGTATTCTCTTGATTTCAAATGCGCTACGCTACCACTCACAGCTAAGCATAGCTATGACGACCATCCTTTGAAGCTCACCTGCCGGGATGATTCAGATTCAGATAAGCTTTATTGCGATGTATGCGAAGATAAGAGAGAGCCATATAATTGGTTCTACTCCTGCGATGATTGCGGTGTCACCATTCATCCCGAATGTTTACTTGGCAAGTATCCTTATATTAAGGTTGGAGATAGTCACACAATTGATTCTCACCCGCACTCCCTCCGTTTCGTGAAGAAGACAGAGAAGTATCCTTCCTGCAACTCTTGCGGCCAACCCTGCACAGATTTGGCACTTGAGTGCGGGGAGTCTGAATGTAGTTTTATAGTCCACTGGGAATGTGTTGCTCTTAGCAAGTCTTGATTCTAAGAATACATTCGGCAGCCAATATATACAAGTCTTGTAGTTTCTGCTACAAACGCAGAAAAGTGAACAGGAGACTAAGATGGAGATCAAATATGAAGCTTACCTCCATCACTGCTTTTCCAAGATTGACCAGAAAGAAAATTGTCAAAGCTTACCTCCATCACTTATAATGATAATGTTGGAATTCATTGTTGTCCTCGTCTGTATGACTGTTTTCGAATTCATTCGAGTTTTTTAATGATTTCAGTAAGTGTCGTCTGAATAATTGTTTTTTTGCTATTTCTCCATTTTTTCACAATCAAACCTGCCCCGTTAACTTCCTGCAAAAATGAGAAAATTAGAAGGTAATTATCATTTATCAATGAAACAAATCTGTTAATTACTGGTAATAACCAGAGACCAATTACCGTAATTTGAAGATTGTTTTTCTTATTTAAATATATATTGCTATTTGAACTTAATTTTCCATTGTGGTAGTTAAATATCATCAAGTACCAAATAATTATAATGTTTTATCGTGTAAATTGTTAGGAATCAGAGAGTCACTCAGTGGAATAATCAGCATAATATTCCCAAAAACTCATCATTGTGGTACAGAATGCAAGGAGTATATACATTCGACGGTTAGCATACAACCGAAACCAATTCCATTATGTATTAGTTGTATTTGCATACAAAGTGTAACATACCTATTGATAATTGTTGTTTATATAATAAAATAAATCTCACCTCATAAAATATGAGTTGAGAGTTTTGCACAATATAAATTTGTTAAAATATTAAAAAAAAATTTCTTAGTATCAGAGCCAAACATCGTGGCTGGAGGGAGTAGTAATTCAACAACTTCTGGTAGTAAAACAAATGAAGAAAAGACTCAAGCAAGCAACACAACAATAACGATTAAAACTTTGAATTTAACAGGAAATCAAATAAGTTCATACTCAATGGTTAAGCTGAACCATGAGAATTCTTTATTGCGGAAGAATATGGTATTACCCATTATCAGGAAAAACAAAATAGAAGAATTCATAACCGAAGTAAAGATCTGTCCACCAAAGTTCACTGAAGAGATGATGAATGAGCAAGTTTAAATCCTCTCAAATCCAGAGTTCGAAGAATGGTTTGCTCAAGATCAGATGTTGCTAGGATGGATCTACAGTACTATTGAACCGACGGTGGCTTCTTAAATTAATGGGGCATGAGACATCAAGAAACCTTTGAAATGAAATCAAAGAGTTATTTAGCTTCAAATTTAGATGAAATATAGTTTTCTATAAAAAAGAGTTTGTTAAGATGCAGAAAGGTGGAATGAAGATGGAGGAGTACCTTAAAGCAATGAAAGCTCTAACTGACAACTTGGCACTAGCAGGTCACCCTATTTTCTTAGAAGTCTTGATCACTCAAATTTTAGCAGGATTAGATTCACAAGACTCTAATCCATTGGTGTGTTAAATAGTTGAGAAAGAAACAATCAGCTGGATTGAACTTCAGTCCAAACTATTAAATTATGAAAGAATGTTAGAACAACTAAACATTGGGATTGCAACCATCAACTTTGGTTAGCCAGTGGCCAACTATGCAAGAAACACAAACCCTGCAAATATGAATCAAAATTATCATTACAATGGTGACAGATCAGGAAACTTCAACAGAGGACGAAAAATCCATAGAGGACGTGGCATAACTGGAGGAAATAGACCACTGTGTCAAGTATGTGAAAGGATTGGGCATACTGCAACAGTATGATATTACAGGTTTGACAAGAGTTATATGGGCTCTTTACCAGATTCAAATAGGAAACAACAACCACACTCAGTATACTTGGCTTTGACAGACAGTTTTCCGGACAATGCTTGGTATATCGATAATGGAGCAAGTAATCATATCACCCATGATGTTGGAAATCTGCAGCAGAAAAATGAGCACATTCATTGGTAAAGAAACTTTGATAGTGGGGAATGGTGAGACATTAACTATATCTCATGTTGGTTCAATTAAGTTACCCACTAATGATAATAAATACTTGTTGGAAAATGCTTTACATGTTCCTGCAATTCGAAAGAACTTGATCAATATTTCTAAACTGATAGCTGCAAATAATATTGATGTTATTTTTTGTTCTTTTGGTTGTACTGTGAAGGATAAATCTATGGGGAAAGTGTTATTGCAAGGGAAGTACAAGGAAGGACTTTATCAAGTTGAGCCAATTCACCAACCTAAAGTAAACACCAACCAATCTCTATACTAAGCTTTTGTTTCTCATTTGAGTACTGATTTTATAAACTTTGAAAAGTTTGAATTATGACACAGGCGTTTAGGCCATCCAGTCCCTAAAATTGTTGATAGAGTTCTTGAAATATGTAATGAAAAATTTGTTGTTAATGAAAAATATCAATTTCCTCAATGTCCTTTATGCGAAGCCTGTCAATTAGGAAAATCCCATCCATTTCCTTTCACTCTATCCACTATTATTCCATCAAACCCTTTAGAACTGATACACTTTGATTTGTGGGGACCTGCACCAGTCACTTCTATGGTTGGATATAAGTATTATGCATTGGTCCTTAACGATTACAGCCGATTAATTTGGATTTTTTCTCTAAAACATAAATTTGAATTAATTCATCTGATTTTCATTTATACTTTATATAATGTAGTCAAGTTTTTAAATCAAATTCAGTAGATAAAGTCTTAAAATAAAAAATATAGAGGAAAGTTATGAGAGAGGAGCTGATGCCTTAAAAAGGAACAACACCTGGACCTTAGTACCCAAAACAATAACAATGAATGTAGTTGGCAACAAGTGGGTCTTTAAGGTGAAAAGAAATGTTGATGGAAGTTTTTAGAGATGCAAAACTAGATTGGTAGCTAAGAGTTTTCATCAGAATGCTGGTGTAGACTATGACGAGACATTTAGTCCAGTAGTTAAAGCCTCAATAGTGAGAGTGATTCTTACAATTGCTGTAACGGAGAATTGGTGCATTCGACAATTGGATATAAACAACGCCTTCCTAAATGGTGTTTGTAAGAAACATTTTTTATGCAACAGCCTGTAGGATTTGAAGAAAGAAGGTAAGAAAGTTATGTTTGCAAGCTAAATAAGGCGTTATATGGGTTAAAACAACTCCTAGGGCTTGGTTTGAAAAATTGAGAAACACTTTGCTAAAATGGGGTTTTACAAGCTCGAAATGTGATTCTTCTCCTTTTATTTTAAAGAGTAAAAATGAGATAATGTTTGTTCCAATCTACGTAGATGATATGATTGTTACAGGTAGCAATTTGACATCCCTCACAAGATTCATAAAGGAGCTTGATAAGTTATTTGCTTTAAAAAATTTAGGTTATTTACATTTATTCTTGGGAATTGAGGTCATGAAAAACGATGCAAGCATCTTTATAACTCAAACAAAATATGTTGAAGAACTAATCAAAAAGACGAACATAGAGAATTGTAAAGCCTGTTCAACACCAGCAGCTCTTGACACATTGTCAATCAATGAAGATGATCCTCTCAAAAATGCAACCTTATGTAAGAAGATTATAGGCACTTTTCAATATATTACCCATACAAGATCAGATCTTGCCTTTGTCATTAATAGGCTGAGTCAATTTTTGCAACAGCTTATTACAAAACATATGCAGACAGCCAAAAAAGTGCTGAAGTATCTTAATGGAAGAAAGAATTTTGGCCTTCATATTAAACTGTGTGATTAGTACATACTCACTGGTTATTCTGACACTGATTAAGCTTGTAGTAGAGATGATAGAAAGTTAATTGCAAGACATAGTGTTTATTATGGCTCAACATTAGCTTCTTGGAGCTAAGAGAAACAACCGGTGGTTGCAAGGTCAAGTGCTAAGTCTGAGTATTGTTCACTAGCTCATGTTTCATGCAAAATTTCTTGTTTGAAATCGCTGTTTAAGGAACTTTCATTTCCTATCTCTAAAATTCTTATCACATGGTGCGATAATGTGAATGCTAGTCAATTAGCTAGCAATTCTATATATCATGCGAGAAGAAAATATATTGATGTTGATATTCACTTCATAAGGGATAAAGTTCTTGAGAAAAAGTTGGACGTTCGATATGTCCATTCCCAGGATCAAGTTGCAGATAGATTGACAAAGACACTAACATGATCAAAATTCTCTCTATGCCAAATCTGAAAGGGTATATTAGGAATCAGATAATTACTCAAGGGAATGGTTAGCAAAATATTCTCAGAAGGAGGACAATTCATCACTGTAGTAGAATGCAAAGAATATACACAACTAATAATTAGCAAACAGTTGTAATTAATTTATAATTAATTTAATTATGTATTAACTATATTTGCGTACATGTGTAATACACATATTGATAATTGTTGTCTATATAATAAAATAAATCTCACCTTACAAAATATAAGTTGAGATTTTTGCACAACACAAATTCGTTAACATATTAAAAAGCTTTTCTTAAACACACTTATTTATTATTAATGTTAAGGTATGGAAAAAAATACGATCATTATAAAAGAAAATAGTTATTGTTGTTCTTGTAAAATAATTTTATTTTCAAATAATATTTAAATTTAAAAAATAAAATAAAATAAAAACTCAATTATAATTTATGAAGTAAATTAGCAACTGAATATAAATATTGTAATAAATATCCAATTTAATTTCTGAATTATATGCAATGTTACATTTTAGTCATATTTTTTTTTTCACCATAAATTAGTATTTGAATTTTTAAAGTTATTTCAAAACCTTGAATAGAAAAATTAGATTTAGACAGGCTTTGTCACTTATTTGGACAAAAAAAATGTTATTTAATTATTTTTGCGTTCCATAATACTTTTTAATCAACATTAAATTTTTGATTAAAATTAAAATTGAACATATTAAATTACAATTTGTATTTTAATTATTTGTCTAATCCAGATTTTATCCAAATTTTAACGTTATTATAATTTTTGAAACAATTTAAAAAATTCTGGAATTAATTTTTAATAAAAAATATTTAGTTATAAAATATAAAATTGTATATACTTTGTAAATTAAATAAGTATTTGTCGTAAATGTTAAAATAAAAATATAGAGAAATAAAGAACCGCCTTGGCAAATTCATCAATATAAGAAAGATGAGGGGCACAATAGCAATTTTAAATGTTAATTTCCCCCAATTTCATCTTTCTCGCTCTTTGAAAGTAAGTCCGTCTCTCTGTCGGCCTTTTCCTGCATGGTTGCTTTTCCACCCAGCTCCTCCTCCTGGTTGTGAAGGCCATCATTTTCTTTACTTCAGAAAACCAGGTAATGCTTTCTATTTTTACGATTTTCTTTCGTTTACTATATCTGCCTGTTCGGCTGCCGAGAAAATTATGGGAAGACAACAAAACATTTTGAAATGGTGCGGCCTTTAGTATTTGATTGATACTGAAAAATTTGGAAGCTATCTCAACGGAAAATCAAGTGAGTTGACTAACAGTTTTAATACTTCGAAGTTATTTATAAAAATGGATATGACGCCTTTGGTTATTGCGCTTCTAAGCGCTGTTGTGCATTAAGTATATTTCGTTCTTATTATTTTCTTTTTGTGAATTTTAAAGTGTAGATAGCTACTGGAAGTTCTAGGCTTTCCTTTTTGTATGTTTCACATATATACATGTCTTCGTAAATATATGGAACATTTTCTAGAGTTTTATTGGTTAACGGACATGGTTATAAGATCACTTGCCATATAAGAACTGTCTTGTAAATTATCTTTGACAGCCTTAAATGGTGTTTTATAGTGACTCATATTTCAGGTCTAAATAGGGGCAAGTTTGTCAGGATGGAAGACTTGCCTAGGTAAGTTCTCTTAGCTCTTGTTATTGCTTTGTGGAAAAGCTTAGGTTATCAAACTGAAAGTGTGTTTGGTTTTCCTTTGGTATAAGTTCGAGTGCTTATACTTTACATCAGAAACTGAAAGCATAAAAATGCAAAAAGTGAGGTTACCAGTCTTTGGTTAAGGAATTATTACGACTTTGCTTTGTGGTTGACTCATTTATTTCAGATGAGACTCTGGCTTTTTGGTGACGGAAAATATATGATCCTTGTTCTTGTTTGAATCACCAGTTAACTTGTCAATTTCAATGTTCCAGTAGTTGTAGTATGATTTTCGGTTTGTATTGGATGATTGTAGTAGTCTTGTAGATTTGTGACTTTCAATGGAAGAGAAGTATGATAGAACCGTCGCATTTTTTCTGTGTTATTAGATTTAGTGGACTCTCTCTTTTGCATGACCTAGAAATTTTAAGATGAAATCTGAATCTTTAAAAGAATTTCATACATTTTATCACTTTGAACTGTTTTTAGTACTCATTAGTAGAGGAAGCCTTCCATTAACATTTTAGACAAGGTTTTCACAATGAGCTGATGTTGAGACCTAAGTTTCCTTGGCTCATGCTGTATTTCTTCATACAAATACTTTTTTATGTCTGATGTGAGCACTTTATACTTGTCATTCATATAACAAGGCCTAGGAGATATTATTTTTGTTGATCATTTGTAACTGATTATATTGAAAGCAATTTCCTAAGTAAAGAATACTTCAGTGAGGATATTAGTGATACACTCCGGATACTTGTTGCTACCGATTGCCATTTGGGCTACATGGAGAAGGATGAAGTTCGTCGACACGATTCATTTCAAGCATTTGATGAAATATGTTCTATAGCAGAGCAAAAGCAGGTGATTTTAAAATTCTCTGATTTCATATGATTACCTCTTTGCATGTAAGCATAATCCATTGTTTCTTTTGCTTTACATGTTTTATCATGTGCATTGCCTTTGAAATTACTTATAAGAATTGTTATACTGACCTTGAGAGAATTGTGCTTGTCACATGCTTCACCCTGATCTAAACTTCATATTATGTCTGGGGAAAATTTAAATATGGCTTTACTTAGGTTGAGTTCTTGCAAATGAACTTTGCAGGCTGAACCGTGCATTTTTGGCAAGTGTTTGTTTTATGTGTTTTCATGTTTCAAAATCCCATGGCGCCTCCTTTTGCATTAGTGGGGCTTGGAGGCTGTGGACTAGGTAATGTGATACTTCTGGTGTTTGTTGGTTTTTTTTTCTTTTCGAATATTTGACCTTTATTGTCTATTCTCTTCATGGAATTGAATAGAGAAAAAGGGAATAGGTTCTTGTGGAGGGCGGGTTCTCTTTGCGGGGCTATGGGTATTTTGCCTAGAGAGACACTATAGGATCTTTAAGGATCATCTTTCGCCGCCTTCAATTCTGTGGAACAGAATGACTTTTTTATCTCTCTTTGGTTAATACGGATGGCATTTTTTAAGGATTTGTTGTTTTCTGTCCTATGTAGAAACTGGCTGGCTGTTCTTTCTTGGGCCTAGTTGTCTCCCCTTTCTCTCTCTTTCATGTTTCCTTTCTTATGTTTTGGTGACAACTAGCCCCTTATCATGTACTCTTTTTTATTTTTTTTTAAATTTCTATCTGGTATCACTTCTTTGTCCATTTGGAAAAAATGAATTCTTTAAGTTTTTTATTAAAAAAAATTTCTTTCTTCAACTTTAAATTTAAGCTCATTCCTCTTAGCTCAATGGTAGAGTGCTCTGTAACACAGCTCTCTGTTCAGGGTTTGACCACAGAATTATGTGCCTTTTACATGTGGTAAAGAAAAGAAAAAAAATAAAAACTTTAAATGAGCATGCTATCACATTTTGGGTGGGTCATGAACCACTTAATAGAATTGTAATATATACTTTGTACATGGGCGGTACCCCTTGGTACCTTTGTGAATAACATTTATCGTCTGATATTTTGAAAAAAAAATAAGCATGCTTATCACGTGATAGTTAAGGAACCTATTTTGATTCAAGGAACTCACTGAATACTTGCACTCTAATTTACTGTAGGCTGATTAATGTCTTGTATTAGGTGGACTTCTTGCTTCTTGGTGGTGATCTTTTCCATGAGAATAAGCCCTCCAGGTCAACATTAGTGAAGACCATTGAGATTCTTCGACGCCACTGTCTTAATGACAGACCAGTGCAGTTCCAAGTTGTCAGTGACCAGACAGTAAATTTTGCAAATATGTAATACATTTTTGCTTTGCATTTCAACTACTTATTTTCAGAAAGATGTTTAGACATTTAAATTCATGTTTTGTCCCCTTTTCTTTATTTTTATGTTAATTTGCAGAAAAAAGCATTTTCACCAAGTCCTTTCCTCCTTCTGACTGTGTTGCATTTGTACATCTGGGCATACAGGAAATGTGCACATATACATCTTGTGTTTTGACCATCTCCATCCATCCCCTACAAAGAAAGTAAAAAAAATCTTGTGTCCTTAACTATTTGTCTCTTGTAACAGATTTGGCCACGTAAATTATGAAGATCCTCATTTCAATGTTGGTTTGCCTGTGTTCAGTATTCATGGAAACCATGATGATCCTGCTGGAGTGGTATCTAACTTAGAGTACTGTGCTTTATATATATATATATTCAGTCTCTTTTCTGTATTTCGAACATGCAATTTGATTGTTCAGTGATTGTTTCTTCCTTATGAATAAATGATATTTATTGTCCATGTTTTTGCTTCAACTTTAGCTCTAAACAAAGCCTACTTATTGCTCAAACCTCTGGTGTTGGTACTATCATGTGGTTGTAGTCACTACATAGACCTTTTTGAGCATTCTAAGAGCCCTAATTTACTCGTAGGAAAAGGGAGACTTTTAGGCTTGGGTTAGGTGGTGGGATGTCATACATTCAAGATGTCTGTTAAAATTTTTTGAAATAAAAAGTATAAAATGTATTAAGTATAAGACACCAAGGTTGTCGCCCCTGTACAAAATACTTACAAAATAGTTAAAGCATTGAAAACCTTCCCAAAATCATCCCATCCATATAAATCATGACCCAGAATAAGAGACCAAAAAGTATGCATCCACCTATCTTGAATTCTGTCCATGTCCCCTACACACCCAGAATAAGACGTCCGTTAAAATGAAATATTATTGATAAAAAAGAAAGATATAGGATTATTATTATTGTCTTATTTGAAACAACATTTTTCTTAAAATTTTCTTAAGCATTATGAATTGTTAAAGGGTACTAATATATCTTTTCTTTCCAACTTAGACAATTTTCTTCCTCCATTTTTATATTGACAAGTTCCTTTCCATCGTTTTAACAGTGAAATTCAATGGCTTAGCAAACACTATCCTAGATGAAAATTATACTTTCTTTTCCAGTTTTGAACTGGATATACAATTGAATTTTTATAGAATTTTGCACTTTGTTTTGGTGTTAAGCTGGCAAATTAATAGCTATGGAACTGAAGCAATAGAATTTTGTCGAACAAATAGGGTTGATTTTTTCAATTAGTGATTTGGGGATAAAAAACCTAAAGATTACATCTAAGGTTTCTTAGACATTACATTTAGGAAATCTTAAGTATTACACTTAAGGGCTTGATTGCATCACACAACCAAAAAATTGAGAAATTCTCAAGATATTATTAAATAATGGAATAATGTAATAAGTGAAATTATAAAGTTATTTATAACAATTTCTAAGTACTCTTTCCTAAATAGAATTAAAATAAGAAATAATAAACTAGTGGAATTAGAAATGTTAAACCTAATATAAATAAGAAATATATTAATAAAAATAGAATCCAAAGTTACTAAAGCTATAGTGATACTCAATAATATACTCCTAAATAGTATAGTAGTTATACATTTAAAATAATTACAATTTTAAAATTATTTTAGGAAATCTAGTACTAGCCCATTCTACATCAATTTTCCTCGGCTTATTTTTTCAATGCAGTGATACACAGCTTAATCTCCATATTACTTCTAGGATCATGTAACTACTGTACAATTTCATTCTTATCTTGTAACTTGACAGGACAACCTTTCTGCTGTGGATATCCTCTCAGCGTGCAATCTTGTGAATTACTTCGGGAAAATGGTTCTTGGTGGTTCTGGTGTTGGACAGATTACTCTCTATCCTATTCTTATCAGGAAGGTCTGTTGGTAGATTTTACTAACCAAAGATCTTGGAATGGCCATGTCTCCGTTGTATGATTGGAATTACTTAATATTTGCAGGGTTCAACAGCTGTAGCGCTCTATGGTCTAGGGAATATCAGGGATGAACGACTCAATAGAATGTTTCAAGTACTTTTTCCCCCTTAGCTGCAGCCTATATGAAGCATATGTTTTCCATCTTTCTGTTGCTTTTTGGTTGCTCGAATGACGTTCAATTTATGACTGATGTCTCAGACACCACATGCTGTACAGTGGATGCGGCCCGAAGCTCAAGATGGGTGTGAAGTTTCAGACTGGTTCAACATTCTGGTACTTCACCAGAACAGGTTCAGTGCGTGCGCATGTGAAAGTTCATGTGCTTAAATAAGTGATTTTATTAACTCATTAAGGTCTTCTTACCCCGCATTTTTATAAATGTTTAGTTGCAAATTAGTATATATGCTTGCTTCATGGTCCTTAAAATCAGCAATTACTTTTGAGTTACTGATGTGTGAGTTGTATACCACATTGCCTTTATGATATAACAGAACAAAGAAGCTCTGCCATTAAAGTCCCCTATTCCACATCAAAATGATGTTGGGTTATAAAGTAGTATAAAATGCTTGCTTCATGATCCTGAAAATCAGCAATTGCTTTGAAGTAGTGTATAAGCTATATGCTACTTTGCCTTTACGACCTAACCGGAAAAAAAGGGAAACCTGGAGTTGTGTTAAAAATTGCTGGACCATTCTACTTTTGCCTTGTATATATAATTTATATCTCAGTTATAACATACAATTTATTTTATTATGTGGTCTGCAGGGTGAAGACAAACCCAAAAAATGCAATAAATGAGCACTTTTTGCCGCGGTTCCTGGATTTTGTAGTATGGGGCCATGAACATGAATGCCTTATTGACCCTCAGGTGCAGCATAAACCTAATATTCTTCAAAAGGTTTCTGATATAAGTACTTGCACAAAACATGCTTAGAAACATACATACACAGCAAAATACACGAGTATACACATAGGAAGATAAATATATGTGAATACATGTTTCGACATATGCATCTTGCACATATTCTTAGTTCCTTATTGAATTGAAGATGATTTTGATTTAAAAGGAAGTATCGGGAATGGGATTTCACATTACGCAGCCAGGTTCTTCAGTAGCAACATCATTGATTGATGGAGAATCAAAGCCAAAGCACGTGCTTCTTCTAGAGATTAAGGTTGTTTCTAGGAAAAAAGTGATCTTGTATGATAGTATTTTATTTTCAGGTGTTTAACATGAATGCATTATTGCTCAGGGAAATCAATATCGTCCAACAAAGATACCTTTGACTTCTGTGAGGCCTTTTGAATATGCAGAGGTAAATTACTCTCATTCATTTGTTTATTCATCAAGGAATTTTCTATGATTACTAAGCATCCGTGATGTAGGTTATTTTAAAGGATGAAGCTGACATTGATCCCCATGATCAAAACTCAATTCTTGAACATTTGGATAAAATGGTAAGCATTATCCCTTTGAACATGTGCAAAGAATTTTTGGACTGTTGAAGTTCTTAATGTCCTTTCAGTTCTTTTGCTATGGAATTCTTGGGGGCAGTAGGGCAATTCTTTATACAATGTTCTAACCATTTATTTCTTTAGGTCAGAAATCTTATAGAGAGATCCACCAAGAAGAATACTAACAGGTCAGAGCTCAAGCTCCCATTAGCGCGCATTAAGGTAATTTCAGGCCTTTATTGTTTTTCGGGACATAATTTCTGCATCTGTCACAAGTGATCCTACATGGGAAAGGGATAAAATTGAATGTTCTTTGTATATCTGCTTAGCTACATCGACTATCTAACTTTAGAAGCCAGTTCAACCTGCAGTGTTTCATGGCCTGCTATTGGAAGATGTGGAGACCTTGTTTTAGATTGTCCAGATTTAATGAAATTGTTTAAGAATTAATTTCTATTGCTTTTGGTAAGATGCATGTGTTGTTATTTTAATACACTCAGCTTTATGTAGAGCTACATTCTGATATAAATTTTAAGTCTATTGTTCAATGCCCAAGCTACATCTGTTTGGCTCCTTGATATATTTTATGTCTTGAACTAAATTACTTTTCCATACAACTATTCTTTTTACATCACAGATTGCTGGACTATCTTGATAACTTCTCATTTTTTGTTCTATGTTAAAATTTGCAGGTAGACTACTCTGGATTCATGACAATAAATCCTCAAAGATTTGGGCAGAAATATGTGGGGAAGGTGCCTTCTGTTAATTGCTCATTCTGGAATACAAATGATCCCATTCTTGTAAAGAGATGATCACTTTTAGTTTTCTAGGTTGCAAATCCCCAGGATATTCTTATATTCTCGAAGTCTTCTAGAAAGGGAAGGAATGAAGGTTTGTAAATTTTGCCTGCTGCCATGAACCTACTAAAATTTGACCATTCAGTTTAATGTGGATCTAATTTTTTTGTTTGATAGAAAAAGAAGCTTTATGGAGCATATAGGGTAAAAAGATACAAGAATGGAGAATAAGCAATTGTCCTTAGCGTCTCAAAGTATAGTAACCAAACAAATATAAACGACATTCAAAAACCAACAAACAAATATAGATGCAGATATCTGTATTTTTGGTCAAGTAGGTAGGAGGAGAACCAACGTCTAATAAAAATCAACATATTTTACACTAATCACAAACTCCCTGCTTCTCCTGATTAGGCTTTGTCTCTTTTTCTGCTGTAAAGTTCCTAAGGAGGGATCGTTTCTAATAGCCTCAGAAATGTAGTTGAGGCATAGTTATTGCAGCAAGGATTCCCCTCTCTTCAAGTACTGATAAAGGGCATATGCTAAATGATTGTTTTGCCTGCATGGTATTCTTATGGGAAATTGAAGTCCATCAAGTTAATCAATGTTGCTGTTGTGAGATGACAATTCTTTGTTCTAATAGGAATTTCAAGTTATAACGCTCCGTTCTTGCACTTTTGTACATGAGTTGCACCCCCTCAATGCTTTGTTAATATCTTTACACTTTTTATTTCAAAAATAAAAAAAATTAACGCTCCATTCTTGCCATAAAATGCCAACACTACGAATACGGCCGCAAATGCCTCACTGCCTGAGCAAGATTGTCGGGAGCTTGTGGTGCCATAATGGTAGTACTTAGCTGGGAAAAGGCTATAGAACCCCCCCTTGTTGCAAGACTGTTTCAATGCCATAATTTCAGGTATCACATTTTGCAATGAAAAATTTTGAGAAGTTGGGTAAGGCAACTATTGAGGTTGAGATCATGGCTTTTTTTAGTTGTTCAAAGGTTGTGGATGCTTTCAGGGTCCATATCAATGCATTCTTGTGAAGCATGGTAGTTAAGGGACCCCATAATGCAAATTTTCAGTAATAGCCAGTTAACTCTTGGAATTCCTGTAAGTCTTTAATAATCATTTGGCCATACTAACATAGTTTCAATTTTTGAAGTGTTGGTCGCCATCTTTTCCACTAAAATTGTGTGCTTGAGGTAAGAGAATTGTGTCTGGCCCAAAAAACCCTCAGTTTGCTTGAGGAGTAGTGGGTGCCATTCTAATAACTTAAAAGATTGCCCTTAGGTGCCTCGAGAGTTCCACGCACGTCCGTCCTACTATAGATTACTATGTAGTCAAGAAATACTAGGATATGACACACAAATATGGTTGAAATACTGCATTCATCAATACCTAGATGGTCGAAGGTGCATTAGTAAGTTTGAGTAGTATTGCCAAAAATTCTTAATGACCATTGATGTGTGCGGAAGATTGTCTTACAATGTTGTTTGGATGCATTTGGATTTTATGATAGCTGGAAAGAAAGTCTAATTTAGAGGAGATGGCTCCATATTGTTCCTCAAGTAAGTCATTAATCCAACGAAATAGAAAATTTATTCTTAGTTTTTCTTTGGTTTGAGACTCGACATAATCGACACAAAGACCTCATTTTCCATCCGTTTTCTTTACTTACAATATTGGGAAAGAGAATGGTGAATGACCTGGATCTTTTAATTCGT